AAACTCTGAAAGGAGCCATTATTCTACAATGCGCCATCCCACACGACGACGTCCAGTGATGGAGGCGAAGACACCTTATGCACGTCGTTCCGTGCTAATAGCTTTAGCGGCGGTGGACAAAACTAAAGCTCCAAATGCGGAGTTCGTTGGGCGTGAGGAGCGTTAGTTCGGTCAGTTAGTGCGGCAAGGCCAGGGTGGTATCTTTTAATAGTTTTTAATAATTTTTGTGCATACTCATTTTATAATGGCAATGCTGAGGCAGGCCTGCCGTTTACAAAACATGAAATGTAAACGTTTATACGTGTTGAAAAAAAAAACTACTTTCGAGGGTTTCACGCAAAAGAAAATCCCACATTGGCAGTGAAACAGATTGCTGAACGCACATTATGGTACACGAAAGTGTCTTCGTCAAGAATTATGAATGCAGGCACAGAGGAGCATAACTGGGAACTACAGCACTGTCAACGTTTAAGCTACTGACAGTTCTCTCACCACGTGCGGTGGTACATCATGTGATCTGCTGTGAAGCAATCAGCTTACGAGGATTTCTTTACGTTCAGCGTTGCCGCTCATCTAACTCACACGAAGTTGCGGAGGCGATAAGGCTCAGCTTTGGCGAAAGTTACGAACATCACATCAAGACGGGTCATAGCCTGTCAGTAATTGTTATTGTTTTGAAGTTGCGTTTATATGCCATGTCGGCGGTGCCATGTGCGTACTAACTCGTGGCAACAGCGCATTGAACTGTCGGAGTCGTTTATACGCTGCCGGTACTGTAGTCACACCAGGGAAGAAACTTTTGGTGTTGAACCGCTTCCGGACGGCATGCATCACTGCGGGAAATCGTAGCGTGACTCTTATTGCAGGCGGGACTTTTTACTGCACTGCTTCTGACATTTCATTGACATTCACGTTCGTTGATTGGTTATTCCGGGCCCATCAACTGCTAAGATCATAAATCACGTAAGTGTAGTGCATGGAAATGGCGGTAATCTTCACCAGCTGGATGGCGAGATCCGGCGCTGCCCTACGTCGGTTTGCGAGGATTTTCCCCAACCATGTATTTCCCTCCAGCAGGACACCCCTCCAGGCTGGACAAGGAAGGAAAGATCGCATGTACATTGAAGGAGGGGCCTAGAGCAATCGGCAAATCAGGTAAGTAGTCGCGGACAAATACTGTTTCTATGTTTACATCAGGATCATTCTATCGCCGAACAAAGGTTACATAACCAATATCAGTTTCAAAACTGCGCCCCGTGATACGGACAGTTTTAAAAGAATTATGCATCTACAGCAATGCAAATAAACAATGAAATTAAACCGGGGACATCACAAATGAAACGTGGGGAGAATTAAAGTTTTGTTTTTTTGGTACAAGGCAATTTTGATAATTTCATGGATTGGCTTACATTTTTGCTACAACTTCCAAGAAGATTTTTATTACAATGTATTATGCATGTACAATATGAAGCCACTTTTACCTTTTTCAACCACAAGCTGTCACTTTGGAGCAAGACTATCTTTATTCCTTTGCAGAGTGTATATGCCTATTTTTATTATTATTTTTATTATTATTTTTATTATTATTATTATTATTATTATTATTATTATTATTATTATTATTATTGTCATCCTGCAATGCTTCAAAATGTTTTATTTAACATTGAACAAATCAGAATTTGTGTTCATATTTTGCTCTTTTGATCCTTTTTTCTTAATTTAATTGATTTTATAATATTCTTTCTTAATGTTTTCACAAATTCTAAAAGCTTGAAGAAAATATGTTAATTTTTTATGTTAATATATTTCCTTATAGTCATCCATGAAGTCAACTAAATCCTTCCCTAGCATTCTTCCCTTCGCTACTACCACGGCATGCACTAACCTAATGTGAGATGCTCATTTGGGAACTAAACAAGGTTCCGTAGGGGCAGCATGTTACACATTTGGAAGTGTATCGAACATTAATCACTATAATCATTTAACATTGCATAAATACAGTGACTGAAGTTTCAGCTTCAAGATCTCAAACTATTTCTCGGCAATTTGCCTAGCATCTCCTAACAGATTCTGCTTCCAAATTATATTCTCAGCAACCTCTCAATAAAAATATATTATTGAACAAAAAAGGAACTTTCATTTAGTCTTCCATAAGTCTTGAGCAGACAACTGAAGAATCTCCCATGGGTCTGTTGGAGTCATTAACTTATTTCAAAATATAATTTTTAAAAGAATCATTTGTTTGCTAATTGTTAATTGTTTCCCAATCTTCCACAAACCAAAGCGATTCACAAGACATCCACAAACAAAACAGGACATTCACAAGACTTTTGCCAGTATTTCTGAAGCTCTTGGTATTAATGAAGTTACATTAACACTAAAATTTAGAATAACAACAAGAATATGTTGAATTATATTTTAAAATCTTTTTAAAATGCTTTTCAAGTACTATTATGCCAAGAATAAAGTGTAAGATAAAAAGTCTTCATATTAACTTTGAATGGATAAAGACAATGGAATCTTGAATGGATAAAATACCCCCCTACAAAAAAAAGTTTCCATTTCATATTTTCTGTATTTGGGATATGCTGTGAAAGTTGCATGAAATTTAATTTACCACTACATATAATCCATTCAAAAGGGGGGTGCACCAATGTCAATCTAAAGTAACACCGGTAGGAAACATTATTGAAACACATTCACACACATATATTCTAATGAAAAAGATATTAAATACAAATTCTTCCATTATTTAAAAATTAAAAGGAATGAAAGTGATTAAAGTTAAAGCTCAAATTGTAGTCTAGCACACATCTTGTGTGCATTATTAATACTTCCATTTAGCAAATGGAATAATAAGTATTTTCAACAAAATAGGTATAGAAATACTTTGACCCCTCCAGAAAGTCAAGGAAAATGTATAAATTTTTAATTCTTCCTTGAACTACATCATACACAAAAAAATGGTACAATTGAAAATGGATATAGGCGATTTAAACAACATTTTAAGTGCAATAAATTTGATTTTAAAACATGAGTAGTACTGCAGTGTTCTTTTGAAGACAATGCTTAGGAACAAATTTCCTTTTTGCTTACTTAGGAATAAAATTACTTTTTTATTGTAGATTTCAGTATTCTTGTGCAATTATTTCCCAAACAAATTGAACTTTAAGAGTGTTTAGCAAATAGCAGTACCTATTATTTGTTGTAATTTAATTACAAGTCAAAACAATTTATGAAGACTTGAAATAATACAAGTTTTGTGCCAAAAGTAATGCGTTGATTGTTTTGAGTAATTGATCAAACTGCTACAAGGATTAAAAATTTCTTGAAAGTATGGCCCTCCTGCATCAATACATTTTTTCCATGTCGTTTGCACACTTCGAAAAGTCCTTAACATTAATGTCCTTTGCAAACCTCGTCCTGGTCATTTTGATGTTGTCAACATTGTCCTTTCATGACTTATAAATATATTTTTTAAGCTTGGGCAAAAATAAGTCTGCTTGAGTCATGGCCAAGACTGTTGGGAGACTTGTCATGACGGTTGGGGGATCGTTGTCACACCAATTGAGGACAGAATCCTTCACAACAAAGGAGGGGTGGCTGGGTGCTTTGTGGCAGTTTCCATAAATCCTTGACCTCACTCCTGATGTAGTTGACCCTCTGGTTCTTTATTTGTTATGTTATGTTTCCAACATTGGATCAACTAACACGCAAACATCATTGATTGGTCAGAATTCGGTAACTTATGCACTTGAGTCACTGTGTTGTCACTACGTGATGTGGATCCAGAAGCAAGCTTCATCAGTGACATCATCTCGACCTTCTCTGAACACTTCATACCGATTGTCCGAGATTTAGGTAAATATCATTATTTATTATCAGGTAGTCTCACCAGTTTAGTACAGAATTGATGGTGCATTGCTACTCCAGGGATTCCTCAATCGTCACTTTGATGACACTGCCGAGCAGACATTTACTTTCTGGCGTTTCCTGCTCCTATGGGAGCTAGTAGCAAACTGCAAAGTGTTGCCGAAACTCCCACCACTGGTAACAAAAGGTGGGAACTCTACGACGAATTCTCATTAGAAAAGCTTACTTTTGGAACAAACCTTGTATTGTGTCATGAAGTACAAAACTCTCAGTAATAATGTCATTACCTCATAAACAATTAAACCACATTAACAATTAATACAGAAAAAAATAATGAACTTCATATGAGTGAGCCTCAAAATTTCAAACTTTCTATAGATAACTTAATGCAACAAAAAGAAAATTAACTGCTGGGAATTGAAATTCCCAAGCTGAATACACATTTCTCTATACAAGTTTCCCACTTTATCTGACATGCACACACACACACATGCATGCATGCCAGTATAGCATTAAGAAACAAACGTTTATCTTCATTTCATTCTATAACAGAACTATATCTGTTGCAGAGAAAAGGAAACAAATGTTCAAACCTTTTTTTCTCTCCTTTAATTAAATTATACATCTGTTCCACCATTTACACATTCTGTGCTCACAAAATACTAAACACTGTTTATAGTAGATGAGCAACAACTGTCACTATTGTACTTTTAAAATAAATCTTTATAAATACTAGATAATTGCTCTAATTTCAGTCATGACATTATATTACTGTACAATTTGTGCAACTTAAAACTCATGTAAGTAGCACCTATCAATTTACATCAATAGAATAAATATCATTACATTATTATGATACAAATCATAAATAAATGAATAATTACAATCCTTATACAACTATGAATTATATTATTTTAGTATCATGAATAAAATGGTTTATTACATTGCTCTTCAAAAATAACATTCCATCATGAAAAGTAAAAATGTTAACATTTATCATTGTTTAATTGGTAACCTAAAATAAATATACTTAAAAATTATGTCATAGATTATTTTTAACTTCAGTCTTAACATGTACATTAGATTTTGGAAACAAAGTATCTTAGGAAACTGTGTAATAGTCTTACCTGAACCAGCAGTAGATGCCGACACCTTAGTGAAGTTGTTTGAAGAAAAGAAAGAGTTGTTGTCCGGTTCAAAAAGTGTTGCAGCACGATGACTCTGCAAAGCCCTTCCTCCAGCAGAACTTCCTCTTGACACAGTACATTCACTTGTTTCACTGCCACTTGTTTTCACTTCTGTTTCGATATCCCGTACATCACTTTCCATTCTCACGTTGGCACCTTGAGTCTCACCAGGAACCACGTTTATGTCACAATTTGTCTGAATTTGACATCTTGCTATTTTCTGTACATCATGACTTTCTTTGCCACTTTTAGTATTTACACGACTGGTACTGTGAGAGACACTTTTGCAATGAACAGTTTTGTTTGGATGTTCATCATGTGAGGAATTGTGAAGTTTTTCTTTCCCTTTCCTGCAAAAATTAAACAAGTGAAATAAGTACATAAATAAAATTCTACATCAATTTCCTTTAGCTGCACACAATGAGTAAGAATTTCACTGATAATGTAACTTCAATAACATAATTACAATAATAATTTAAAGTCAACTGCAATTTATTTATTTACTTTCTTTTATTTGCCCATTACATCCGATTTTTGAAATAATAATATAATAATAATTATTATTATTATTATATTATTATTATTATTATTATTATTTACACTAAGCCTCAGCTTCATTATAAATTATCAAAAAGATTTTCAGTAAGTTAATTAAATGCACAGACATCACCTACAAATAATATGAAAATTCCAACTTAAACAGGAAATTAACTAATATAAAAACAAATCGTACGGAAATTATCAAATGCAACTTAATAGCTCCTCAGCCTAAATTTGATACCACTCAATAACTTCAAGACTTCCCTAATTATCTATTTCTTATTCAACTGAATTCCAAATGAACATTAGAAGTGTAACAGGGTGGTAACTCATTTCCTGAAACTAATTTCCCTCACTATTCCCTTTTTCCAGTGATTTTTTTCCTGATAAGATTTTAATTTCACACTACTTAAAGAAAATATTAAAGTCAGCCAAATACTAATTGGTCAGCACTGATGGCTCCAGAGAATATACATATTAACAATATTTTCTCAATAAATAAAAATTGAATATTGTTTTTGATTTGAATTGGAAATTTAACAAAATAATAATTTATCAATGTTTTAATGAATAATATCCAGTTTTATAAGTCTCTGAAAATTTTCTCCAACCCCTCTAACGATTTTTCAACACATTTCCTGATTTTCCAAAGCAATGAAATTCACCAATTTTTCCCTATTTTCCAGTGCACACCCTGTGTACGTCAGAGGGGTTGGAGAGGGATCTTAAAAGAAATTCTACCAAAACTGAATATAAGATTGAATTGTAGTCAAGAATTTGCATAGGAATTATTACCTAAAACAATTTGTCCTGAAGGAAAAGTGGTAGTTACAACAGGAAAACAAAGTTAATCAAAAAAGAGAAAACACGACTTATTTTGAGTGAGCTATAATATAAAAACTTCACTTTCAAATTAATCTCTTTCAATTAAACAAGAAACTGCTGAATGTTCAAACAAGTGGCATAACACACTTCAATTTTAAAATAAAAAGAGTAAAGTTACAGGGAAAAAAGGGCAATATCGTTGCCACTTAATTCCGCACATGAGGTATGCCCGAGCTGAATTCAGAGCTT